AGGAATGAGGGGCTCTGGGGACAGATGTGTCCGTGGATGAGTGGAGGGGTGGGAGGGGTAGTTTTCTACAGGAGTGGGCCCTTGAAGGCATGGGCTGGTGAAGGGTTCGTCGATGTGTGTCCATGGGTGAGTTAAATCGTGGTTTGGTGGATGCGTTGTGAGATCAAGCATGAAAGGGTTCATGGATTCAGGGTTGGTTGATAGGGGGGTCATAAATGTGGGGTTCATGGATGAGGGTCCGTGGATTTTTTTTCGGGGATGGGACGTCTTTTGTGGATTAGGTCCATAGTTGAAGTCAGTGGATGTTTAATTGTTTAAGTAGGTGGATGAGGAGTCTCTTGATAGCTGTGCTGGGCTAAAGCGAACAACTAAACAAGCGGGAAGGAGTGAGTGCATCCGCTGATAAGCATTCGGAGGGAGAGGAGCACGGCATTTCGAACGAGTGTCAGGGCGTAGGGGCGTTTTGGGAAGGCTAACGAGCGAGGGACACGCGCACACGGCGGAGAGAGTGCCGGCGGTGCTTCGGGGAGGGGTGGCCCGCTCAACTGGTCTCGCACCGCCGAGGGCACCTCCACATCCAGACCAGCTGTAGCACGAGATCGGATGTTGTGGGAGCACTTTCGTTGAAAATGTCACACGAGGAAAAGGAAATTTAGGAAAGCGTTGTTGGTAGGAAAAAAGAAGCGGGTTCTTTGGCAAACAGTAATGAAAGGAATGGCTAGAAGGATATAGAGAGGATAACATTTCTCATTTTCTGTTATTTTTGAATCTCTTCTGAAGACTGCAATGCGTGAAATATTTTTAGAACATCTAAATAGGTGTGTTAAAAGTAATTGAATATCGAAATATTAAAAAAATGAAATCTTCGTTATTCAAACGAAGTATCTTTTTACAATACTGCGGAATTATATACTTATTAAACTTCCAAAATGTTATCAATACTACAATGTCACATGTTTTCTCCTTCATGTAGAGAATGTTATGTAGAATATTTTTCGTCAAATACGTGACACATTCAAGAAACATTTTTATTGAATAATGAGGAAGTTTGAAATTTCAAAATCATAATAGTTATTTATCACAAGATGCTTTTCTATGAGCAATATTTCACGTGAGGTGTGCAACGTTTAGAAGTCCTCAATTGCGGCAGCTGGCGCGGGTTTCATTGGACATTCATTCGATTTATGGCCACGCACGGGCGGGTCGGTCCTTATGGAAATTAAGTGAGGAGGAAATTTTGGCGCGATGCATTTCTCTCTGGCTTTTGTTGGGAGGGCAGGAGAGGTCAAGCAAAGTTAAAGGGTGTAGTCATCATTTAAGAGATAGTTTCACCAAAACATTCATCCACCTGTTTATTATCATCTTCGAACACATTTATCAATGCACCAATTTTCACAGGATAACTGAACATCAGAACCGTAATTTTAACATTAGAACCATGTATCATAGCGTTGTAAAATAATAGGGTTCAATGCAGAACCACAGCGACACAGTAACTAATAATCTTAGGGACTTGACGGTTCATATGTTCCTGCTTTCTCACTTCAGGGAACAGAAGAAAACGTTTTCGGAAGTTCCCTCCGCTCGGAAGAAATAGGAATTCTGAACCATAAGAGCTTAGGAGATAGAGAACTAGGTTTTTGCGCCAAAAATACATAGCCATAGGTAACATAGCTTACCACAATGACAGTCATCAGTATACTCAGACACGCAAGTAACAGTATTGAATAAACTCTATGTTTTTATGTTAAAGATGACTAACTATAGAATGCAAGAATATATGATCATTACTGATGTTATTAAACAAACGACATAATGAAATAAACTCTGGTTTTCTCTAACGTATCATATTTTAGATGAATTATTCAGAATTAAAGTTCTCAGTCACTAGTTGTTCAAATTATTTCCTCTTCAATTACGGGAATTTATTAGCGAACGCGATTAATCCTGTTTTCAAAAGCAACGGAGGTTCGTGATTAGCTCTCGGTCAGCGTGCACTCGGCGGCCCCGGGTGTTTTCTTTGCAATGTCTCACAAAATGTTGCTGTGTGTCAATGAGAAAATTCTCTTCTCAGGTTAAGAAGACCGGAATCGGGCGTGGGGATGATTAAGTGCTAACCGCACTCACCCCCTTAACCCATGGCCGCGAGGCAGGAACGTTCAAGTCGTCTATACATACAAAAATAATGGAAGACACATTTTAAACCTAATATTCCAGAAACTATACTTTCTCAAACTCAACATAAGATGGAAACGGGCAAGGAAAAAAGAAATCGTTGACAATTAAAGTAAATGAAACGGGTTTAGTACATTAAAAAAACAATGTCGTGAAGTGTTCTCAGTGACCCTCATCAATTACTTGCGTTTATCGGGATATCATCCGCTACCTCTGAGCGGGAAAGTAATAACTCACTTAAGCCCTTCATGAAGAGCAACAAGGAACACCCCTTCTATTTATCATTCGCTAAGACAGCGGATGATAAAGCTTAGACGCGAGGACTTTTGATACGCTTCAAACGCTATTAGCATAAAACAGCATAAATGAGCTATTCCTGGATAGGAAACACCTAAAAAAATTACATATACGTATTATAGTTCATTATAAAAGTCTTGATCAGACACTTTATATATCGTTCACAGGGTAGGATCAAGACTTTTATAATGTAATATAATATATGTAAATTTGTATCTCAGTTATATTGGCCTAATCCCATATTTATCCATCACAGATAAATATTAATTTTTATATACTAGATAGGAAATTATGATCCAGAGATGCGTCAAACCTATTTAAGATGAAACGTGCTGAAACTGAAAATATGTTTCAAGAAAATCAGCATGCGCAGATTAATAGACACAACACGAGACAATCTTACATAACTCCATGACATCTCTAGACTATTCAAATCCGATGTTCGGTTTCCCTAAGGCGATCGAGTAGTGTTTCGTATAATAAAATATACAATATTGGGATAGGTGGAGATCTACAACATTTTTGGAGGTTTGGCTCCTTGGAGAAACATTCGTCTGTAGCACGAGTGAACCGCGTATCTGCAATTCTGCATAAAATTAAATTTACTATTTGATGTTATGTGCAATTTCATCGCGGACATGTCTTTTTAAACGACAATAATGGCTCAGGAAATATTAAAATGTCTATAGATCAACAATTCCAGGCATGATACGCCGCATTGTTCAGCTCCTGAACATTTAATATCGATTTCGAGTAAGAAGCTTTTTTTCACTTTTAAACACTGATTTATTAAGTACAGAATGGTTACACAGTATAACTGTTATTAGATACCCTTTTTAAAATTTATTTCATCCGACCGGCCAAAAGGCCTTACAGAATTGAGAAGTATAAATACCTTAACGAAGTGGAGACATCCTAAAGTGATTTCGAGTGTATTACTCGGCAAGTACACACTGTGTATTAATTGTTGAGTTTAATTGAAGAGTTTCTTACAAGAACCAACGTATACCTTATTCAAACTTTTTTAGGAGGCACAAGAAACCTCACAGCTTAGACGTGCATAGTAATGCGTTTATGATTTTTCCATGTCATACCTTTCAATGTTTTTAGGACAGGCCGAAAGGAAATCTCCCAGCATATAGCGACCGTTATAGGGCATAACTTGGTGAAATATATGAAAATATGGAATTTTGGACTGGTTTGGTCCTTGTAAGAAACCCCTTAGTTAGATTTCAGTTGATTTAAATTAGAGAAAGGGGAATAGTTGGATTCTTTGGAATTTGGGAATTTATTGATGTGTTTGTTTTATGGGAGTTTGAAACTATACTTAGGTATTCTTGATTGGATTCTGTTTGATTGTTGACCTAAATGAAAATACTTTGCGCTTGGACAGGATGGTAAGAATGTAAAAAAATGAGATTAATTTAATCAGATTGTCTGTAATTAGGGGTATTTGATGCTCATATTGTATTTGAATAACAGATATAAAGCATGGTGATTTGAGATGTCTTCAGTGAAATTTGTCTTGAAAGGTTTTTTTTTTTGAAAGTGAGTTAGAAGCCTAACACTACTTGGTCCCTTGTTGCAGGCGTACCCCAAGTACGCTTTCAAGTACGGCGTCAACGACTACCACACCGGCGACATTAAGCAGCAGCAGGAGGAGCGCGACGGCGATCAAGTGAAGGGCTCCTACAGCCTGGTGGAGCCCGACGGCAGCGTGCGCACCGTGCAGTACACCTCCGACAAGCACAACGGCTTCAACGCCGTCGTGCACAAGAGCGGGCCCTCGCACCACGCCGCCGCCGGCGGGGGCGGCCACGGCCACTTCCAGTAGAGGGCTGTGCCCCGCCACGCGCCATCCCCGCACGCCTCGCCCCGACGCATACACCTCGCGCCGCGTTGCACGCAGATCTTTCCCCAGAAATTTTCATCAGCAAAATGTCGTTGTTATTCAAACCAAAAATTAACGTTATGTACGAAACGTTTACACACTAAGTCATTGAGAGCATCGAATTGAAGACGTAATGGGAAAGACTTCGTACAAAGTGGCTGCGTTTGTGTTGTATTCCTTACAGGAAAGCATATATCATCTCCTGCTTTCTCAACACATCGCACGCATCTTAAAAAATGAATATTACATTAACACACAAAGACCATGAAACCCAAAACCCAAATCACATGCAGTTAGCAGGACTGTTATACATACAGAACAGCACTATGGACTAGTAGTAGAATTTGCACGATTTAATCAAAAGAATGCATTATCGAAATTAATGAAAACGTTCCAAACTACAACAAAGAAGTTAAGAAACACCTTTACATTATATTACGGAAATTGTTGTAGGATTCAAAGTTACGGTTGCCTAATACACCCTAAAAATAATTTATAAACCACGTAACATTCCATTCACAAAATAATATATCAGCTTGAAGTAATGAATTAAGGAAAATTATATGTACTGACTACTACTTCGGCCTTGTCATCCAATTCTCCAGAACTTGTTCATACATTCAGCCATTCGGTTTTGAAAATATAACGAATATCTTCGTTTGTCAGAATCAAGCTTCAAGTGAAATTCTATCATTTTGAGCCTTCTATGAAGAGTATCGAACCGAATGGCTGAAATGTAGCTTGTATGTGTTCCGCCATTCTTGTCCTCATTGCCCAGACTAAAGACGACTCGGCGCCGGGGTGGGCGAGGGAGTGGTCTAGAGGACGGGGCTCCGGGCGGGCGCTCCTTCCGCTCCGTTCTAGTCTGGGGTTGGGTCGCTTGCGGCTCCCCGGAACTCCCTTCGCCTTGCGCTCTTCATCGCCTCAACCGCGCGTAGTTCCCCGCCGCGCCGCCACTGCCCCGTGTGGCGCTGGGCGCTACGCGCGGCGACGACACCTCGCACCCTCACTTGTTTCACTTTC